GGTTTGCTTTTTTAAAAAATTAGGTGCTGGTGCAATAGGGCAAATGAAAGAAATAAAAGACATAAAGATTGGAAAAGGAAAAAAATAAAACTCTCACTATTCACAGTTGACGTGATTTATATATTGAAAATACAAAAGAATCTATAATAGAACTATTAGAACTAATGTGTTAACTTAGCAAGGTTTCTGGACACTAGATCAGTACAAAAAAAGATCAGTTATATTTCTATTTACTAGCAACAATCAAATCAGAGGTAAAAAATTTAAAAACCATTTAAAAAATCAAATATATAAGAATAAATCTAGCAAAGCATTTGCATGACCTCTACACTGAAAACCATAAAACCATACTAAGAGAAATTTAAAAAGACCCAAAGTAGGGGTTTGCCATGTTCATGGATTGGAAGTCTCAAAATTATTAAGATGTCATTTCTTCCCCAATTGATCTATAGATTGACATCCAATCAAAATCTCAGCAGATTTTTGGGAGAGAGAGAGGGGAGGGTGGAAATTGGCAAGCTGATTCTAAAACATATACATAAATGCAAAAGACCCTGGAATAGTCGAAGAAATCTCAAAGAAGAAGAACAAAGCCTGAGGGCTTACACTACCCAATATCAAGATTTAGTATAGAGCTATAGGTATTGGTACAAGAGCAGACAAATAGACCAATGCAGTAGAATAGAGCATCCAGAAAGAGACCCACACACATATATGGTCACCTGATTTATAACAAGGGCTCCACCGCAAATCAGTTGAGAAAGGATGGTCTTTGCATTGAATTGTGCTGGCTAATGGAATGTTCATATGGGAAAAAAAGAAGCTTGATTCCTACCTCACACCATACACAAAAAACTAACTAAAGCCGGATCATAGATCTAAATGTGAATGCTAACATGGTCAAGCCTTAGAAAACATACAGGAGAATATCTTTATGAATTTGGTCTAAGTAAGGATTAAACAGAGCACAAAAAGCACTAACCATGAAAGAAAAGAACACTATATTGGGATTCATTAAAATTAGGAATGTCTGCTCATTAGAAGACAGCGTGAAAAGGGGGAAGAGCAAACTACTGACTAGGAGACAATGTCCCAAACACATTAAAAAAAAATCAGTAAGAAACCAGACACCCAATGAAAAACTGAGCAGAAAATTTGAAGAATGTCACAAAAGAACATATCATTAGACATCAGAGAAATGCAAATTAAGATCACTCTAGAAAAATGTTTAGTAGTAATAAGGCTAAATGTGCATATTTCTGTGACCCAGCCATTCCCCTCCTGGGTATATACCCAACAAAAACCAGCGTTTATTCCACCAAAACACAGTGTCAGAATGTTTTTTAGCAGCTTTATTCATAAAGTCCAAAAAAGTAGAAACAACCAATGTCTATCAACTGAAGAATGGGATTTGGGGGGGTATGTTCGCACAATGAATTACTACGTAAGAGTGAAAAAGAATAGACTACTGATCTCCTCAGCCATACGGCTGACTCTCACAGACACTGCGAGTGGAAGCAGTCGGACACAAAACAACACACTCTGTGCCTCCATTTGTAGGGAGTTTAAAGTCAGGCCCCACCACTCTGAAATGTTAGGAGTCATAGCAGCGGTTGCCCTTAGAGATGGTTCTGATTGGACGGGGGCCTGAGGCAGCCTTCTTGGGTGCTGGAAACTCCTCTGTATTAACTTGGATGGTATACACACCGGCATGTACATAAATAAAAAGTCACAGAGCTCACCATACTGTCTAAGTTACACCTCAATTTAGAAAAAGTTCTGCTAGCAGCTATCTGAAAGTTCAAATGTATGTAAACTGAAACAAAGCAATGCTACCATGCTACCTAGCACATGAGGCCGGGCCACTTGGGCTTCTGTCCTGCTCTCAGACAGGGTGCTGTCAGGTGTGGCTGGACACAGCCTCCTGCCATTGGATGACCAGCTTCACCCACCAGCTAACAGACTGCCTCGGTGAGGGTAGGATGGTGGCCAGCAGTGCGAGGGGACCACGCTGAAGGGCTCAGTGCTTCTCGGCTCTGGCAGAACATTGTCCGGAGCACTGTACTTTTTAGTTTAATTTTAACTTGGTGTCAAAATGTACATAACACAAACTTTACTATTTTAACCATTTTTAAGCATTCAATTCAGTGGCAATAAGTACATTTCCAATGTTGTGCAGTCACCATCCACCTCTGGAACCTTTTCATCCTCCCAAATGGAAACTCTGTACCCACTGAACACTGAGACCCCATCCCCTTCCCCAGCCCCTGTAACCACCATATTCTGCTTTTTGTCTCTGTGAATCTGACAACTCTGTATGTTTCATATAAGGGAAATAATAGGGTATTTGTCTTTTTGCATCTGGCCTCTTTCACCGAGCATAATGTTTTCCAGGTTCAACCCTGTTGTAATATGTATTAGGATTTTGTACTCCCTTTTAAGGCCAACTCATAGTCCATTTTATGGGTAGACCACATTTTGTTTATTCATTCATACATCAGTAGACCTTAGGTTGTTTCCACCTTTTGGCTCTTGTGAATAATGCTGCTAAGGACAAACAGGCCCTGCTTTCTTTCAACTCTTTGGGGTATAAACCTAGACGTGGAATTGCTGGAATATATGGTCATTCCATGGAGCACTATTCTTAAAAAGCCACTGCTCAGCCCAGCCGCCCAGAGATTTAATTGGTTTGATGTTGAGCCCCAACAAGTATACATTTTAAATCTACCCAGGTGGTTCTAATAAGCAGCCAGCATTGAGAACCACTGGGCCAGACAGAGGTTAGTAAGGTGACAAAGAAGGGACAACAAAGTGAAGCGGGAGGAAGAGGCAGGCCTGCGTGTGTCTGGGAAGGTGGGAGGGCGAGCTCCCCCACCTCTGTGGCCTCCTGTTAACCACTCAACAGTGGAGGCCAACACTCCCCCCTGATCAGACACCAATCTCTCTTGCCCGCTGACCTCACTGAGGGTTGCCAGACTTAGCAAATTAAGATACAGATGGAATTCCAGTGGAATTTGAATGTCAGATAAACAACATTTAATTTTTTTAGTGTATCTTATATAACACTTGGGACATACTTAAAAAAAATCATTGTTTATCTGAGACTCAAAATTAACAGGGTGTTCTGTACTTTATCTGGTACCCCTATTCAAGCCCCACTCAGATGAGCCCCCTACTCCTCAACCTGGCCTTCACCTTTGGACACCCTGTCCCCACAAGAACAGAGGAGACCCCGGCAGCTGGACCAGGAACCCCCCACCCCATCCCTATGACCTCCCAGGGCCAGCAGCAAAGGCTGATGAGGGGTCTCCCCAGACAGGGGGGCTACCTGGCCACCTGTGTGGACAGCCCTGCATGCAGCCCCAAATGCCACCCCTGCAGGGTGGAACATACCAGAGGCCTCTGAGCGGGGTGATGTCTGGTGGCCAGATGCTACCAGGGATAGTCAGGGAGACCCTGGCCAGTGCAGACAGCCTCCAGTGAGCAGCTGGAGGCCTGTGAGCCCAGTTTAAGAGGGGAAGACTGAGGGCAAGTGGGCCTTGTATCATCTTGGGGGATCTGAAGGCCAGAGGTCAGTCAGTGCGTGGAGGTAGTGGTCAGAGCAGAGCCAGACCCACCACTGCCAACTCCCTGGAGCAGGGCCTCCTCATTCCCACGTGTCCTCTGGAGCATCATCCGTGAGCAGGGCACAGCTAAGGACCTGTGCTCCCTGGTGTTGGAGTCACTCAGACCCTGTCCCTCAGGCTCCACAACTGGACTTCTGCGTCATCCCTGAGACCAAGGTCCCGATTTACTCATTCTCTCTGCCAGATAGGCCCAATGTCTCTTCCCAGGGGCCTCGGTGCCGTCTGCTGGGCCTGTGTGAGGACAGCTGGCCTGTATTCTGCCCACCTGCACTTGGTGAATGAAGGGGGCCCTGCCATGCTCACCTCCCACCTGGGCTGCCCGTATCTCAGGCCACAGCTTCCTGGATGCTCCTCTCTCCTGACTCCTGCCCCCATCCCTGACCCCCATGGCCTGAGAATTCAGTTCTCAGTCCCCTTAGGTGGCCCCAGCACCATGACCGCTGACCACCTGAGACCAAATAGCCTTTCCCAGAGGAGGGAGGAAGTGGTGCCTTCACTGCAAGATGGCCCTCCTCACTGCACTGGCCCCCAGAACCCTCATGGAAGGACGGGGACAGGCTCATCCCTGGAGATCCGAGTGCCCTGGGACAGAGGAGGGGGTGCCCAGCCTGCACCCCAACCTGGGAGCCAGCCACAGGTGGTCTGTATTGGCCCCAAGGGCTTGGGGAATGCATGTGCCTCCACTGAGGGGCCTGGGAGGAACACCAGGACCTCAGGAGCCGGGCCATAGAGGAGAACCCCAGGGCCAAGAGCCACCCCCGGCCCAGCTCAGTGACGCCTCTTCTCCAGAAGGCCTCTGTGGTTACCATCCCTCTTAGAATGGCGAGCCTCACCTCCAACGGGGGGCGCAGCAGGGAGAGGCCCCTGGGGGCTGCTCACCCAATACGAGGGCAATTTCTGTAGCAGGCTCTGGGTGATGGACCCCACCACGCCTGCACCACCTCTCTTGGTCCCCAGGGCCCTGGGCAGGTCTGAGACTGTCTCCTCCATCTTAAGAGTGGAAGAAGGATGCCAAGGTGGTACCCAGGTCTGCTGATTCCAGGTTTAACCACTCGGCTGCACTGCTCAACGTCACCTCTGCCTGCCTGCAGCCTTTCCAACTACTTCCTGCTCCTCCTATTCCGTCATTGGTACCTAGGGAGATGGGCTTTGTCCCCTCAGCCCATCGTGGGCTGTCCTTGGCATGTGTTTGCTTATTCCATGCCGTGATCTAGTCCTTCCTAGCAGCTCCTGGCAGCCGTGGGGACACCTTCCTGGCATTGCCCCAGATACCCCTCCCCAGAGTGGCTCAAGCCTTAAAAGTCACAGTCTTTCCTGCCACCTGTCTCCTCTTCTTCTCCCAGCCTACACCGAGGCAGCCTGGACCCGACTTACCTCCAGGGCCTTGTTGCCCCAGGAATGCCTTGACTTGGGGGCCGGGGGGGCTCCATCCCAGCGTTCCTGGGCTCAGCCCTGCTCCAGTGAACAGAGGCAGCTGGGCGGTGGTGGGGATGTCCTGGGAATCTCTGTGGCTGGTCAGCTGGGCCCCAAGCCGTCAGGATCTGTCCCGGGCAGGAGTGAAGCCCTGTCTGAAGGGATCAGGAGGTGCTGACTGCACAGGGGAGCAGGGACTTGGTCCGCCAGCTCCTGTAGTCAGTCCCCTCAGCCCACTGGCTGTCACGGCCCCTGGGGCTCCTACCCTCTTCCTGTGCGGGGCTCCACCTCAACCCTCCTTCCTGTCTGATTTCAAAAGCCAACAGCCTCACAGACAAATCAATGAGCCGCAGCTGCCTCGGCTTTGTTATCGCCCCAGAAGTCAGAGGTAGGAGTGCTGCTAGGGTCTTGATTCGAGGACCGAGTACCCCTGCACACCTGATGGTCAGGGGAAAGTGG